ATATATATATATATTACCGCCTATCGTTTGTTGCTGTTGCGTCGTCATCGTATACCATACTTGTCAGTCGGTTCTGATCCTGGCTAAATGCTCAACCTCGAACAGAAGAGCCTTTGAGTCTTTACCCGCTGGAACCTGCTGTAACGAGATGTTACGTATTCCTATAACTGCGAATGCCTGCCGTGATCCCCAACCCGCCAGTAGAGTTTTACCTTCAACGCCTGAACCTGGAAATCCAAAACCTATGAATCACAAACAGGGGGTCCCAAAACCCCCAATGTCAGCAGGCTTACACCCCAAAAGCCTTAGAGGACAAACTTGCCGCCAAAAGCCCTACCCTGAGGTCAGGCAGAGAGAGCTCAGAAGAGAGGCCTTTCCGCTAGTGATGCATGGTGTTGTGTGGTTTAGGGCCTAGGGTGTAAGGTTGTTGAAGGTTTTCTGAGAGTCTTCTGTTTAAGGCGTAAGGAGTTAAGACTCTTGCGGCTGGTTCATGGTCTTGTCACGTTTCTCCGGGCGTTGTGCTTCCACTTTAATGTATATGAATATAACAAGATCATATGCATTACTGGGCCTGGGGCTTGCAGGGCTTAGCCATTCCACAACTGGCCTGACCCCAAAAGCTTAGTTTGGGAAGAACCCTACGACGAAAAACTACAATCAATAAGCTAAATCCTAATCACGCTGAGGTCGAGCCACGCTTCCCCGTAGGTTCCAAGCCCTTGTGTAGGTTCGTTCACAAGTGTTCCGAGTCCTGGGTCTTTGCCGGCCACCGCAATACCAAATGTTGGGCTGTTGCGTCAAGAATGCCTCGAAGTTTAAAGGTTCACACTGCCTGAGCCTATGCGCCCACCCTAGGCTAGGGTGGCTTTGAGGCACTCGACTTCATTTCTCAAATCGTCCAGGGCTTCCTGCAGCAGTGGGACGAGGCCATGTACTGGGGAGCTTCCGTGTTTGGACGAAAGACCCTGGCAACATAAAACCGACAGGAGGTTTGACACGAAGCCGTGCCTTTGTAGAGCTTTCACGCTTTCGAGCTCAGAAGACATACTGTAGTAGAGAAGAAGTATATACCGCATATCAGCAGTGTGCACAGCATGCCATTTCAGTGCGTTTTTCGATTTCGGCCCTAAGCCTCATGCGCCTCCACATGCCATTGCTCGCTCCAGCATGCCAGCCAAGTCTCGCTCTCGGTCGGTCTCTGCATGTTTCTGCCAGGATTTCAGGTTCAGAGTTCACGGTCTCTGAGGCCTTAGGCTTAGGGTTT